GTTGTCAGAGGAACTCGACGAGTTGAAGGACAACTCGGCGAGTTGGGTCAAGTTGGACCATTGACTTTGACTTTTGACGAATGTCTTTGACTAAGTTTGTCCCTAGGGGCGTTTGTGATAACCTGATTTGGTTGTAAGGAAAATATGCGCTTAGGATAAGACCCATATGGGGTTGGGCCCAGTACGGAAAATTGGGCCATTAGTGGGTATTCGTGGATCTTTTGGTTTTGAGCCTAAATTTTGGGTCATGTTGGGTTCGGGGTAAAATGGTCATTTTAACCCAAGTATGGATTATGGATTATAGCATGGGACCCAATTGCTAATTGGATGTGTTGTTGGTTTTGATATCTCGGAAGCCGGCAGGGCAGCAACTAAGGACTTTCTTTCGGGGAGCTTCTGCATTCGATGTGAGTTTTCCTCACTGTACTTTCGGGTTGAAGGCACTAAGGCCGGCCCTTTGGTTTGATAACCTGATATTTTGATATGGCGAGTATGAAATAGATATGCATGCTAGTCTGGTTATGCTAGTGTTGATATGTTAGTCTGGTAGATATGTAGGACTACCTGTGATACTGTCTATTTATCTTTATATGATATTATCTGTTATATGTCGACATATTGTGTGGATTGGTTTGAGGTTGTACTGCTTTGTGTTGTAGCCAACAAACCCTGGAGTATGCCAGATATGAGCTGAGGGCCAGGGAGGGCATGCCAGACTCATACTGAGGGCTCATTAGCATTCTAGATACGAGATGAGAACCAGGTGGTAAGCCAGACTCGTACTGAGGGCTACTCATTGGTATTCCAGTCCAAGGACTGAGGGAGCAAGCCAAACATAAGCTGTGGGCCTAAGGGGAAGCCAGACTTATGCTGTGGGCTCGAGAGTAAGCCAGATATGAGATGTGGGTTTGATAGGCAAGCCAGACTCATACTGTGGGCTCAGGGGGTAATCCAGTCTTTTAGCTGTGGACCCAATACATGTTGTTATTAGTATATGTTATCTGTTTGGGTGTTGGTATTTTGAGGGAACTTACTAAGCTTCATGCTTATAGTTTTGGTTTATGGTTTCAGGTACTTCAGTGGATTGTTTCAAGGTGAATTCGTGACCGTACACATCCTCGCATTTTAGACTTATGATTTCTAGGAAACTATGATAATGTGAATGTTTTGAAAACTATGTTGAAAGAGATTCTGATTTCAAATATTGTTTTCGGAACAATGGTTTTTGTAAATGCTTCTATAGAAAAAGGGTTGTTTTGAAAAGTTTAAATTTTATGAAATTTTATGGATGTTAGAAGTTGGTATCAGAGCCTTGGTTTGAATGAATTGGAGGAACACTCGTGTGAATCCAGTCTTAAACTAAGGAAAAAGATTTTCAAAATACTCAAGGAGGATGCGATGTATACAATCAACTGCAGCCAGTAAGTAGACCCCAAAATACGATACTGTTATTTGATATTGTGATATGTTAGAACAAAATGCTAGTGATAGGCTAGAGATCTTCAGGAATTTTATGGTAGAATTGCCAGATAGCCTAGGATCCTTCTTTATATGAAATTGACATCATTACTATAGTTGCTTAGTGTATGCATCGTAGTTGTACATAACTAAGATTCTATATCCTGAGAATGTTTGGTTTGGCCTTATTTCCTGTTCTTGTTTGATGAAGTCCTGAGGGTAGGATAAGGTATTCGAATGTCTATAGGATCCAACGTTATGTATGGTTAGCATACACAAGTGCTGCAGGGTTGGTCTAAGTTTCATGAGTGGGTGCAATGTTTAGAGAGTCAACACGATGAATTATTAGACACTCTGGGGGAGAGTGAGAGTAGGGTGAAGGTGCATCCGTGGCGTTGGGAGTTTGAGATCAAGGATTTTGTAGGAGGATCTGTCGGATTTTATTGCATTTTAGTGCCGGTCGACTCCTCTACACGAATGGTGCTTGATTTGTGCTTTGTGGAACTCATGAGTAATGTAAGTTAGCTTTTGGGTGAATATGTCAAGTCACATGTGAAAGGGGTTGGATAATCTCAAAGTGACGAATTTGACTCTACTGCGCAACTCCCGTTTGAGTCCAACCGTTGTAGGGATGAGTTTGTTACTCGAAGGATGATCTGAGCTTTGTTGCATGTGATTGTACTCATGGAATAGCCAATTGACATTGTGAGGAGTTCTTCAGCAGCTGATGGCAGAGAAGTGTAGAACCCTCAGATAGCCTAGGGAGGATTCTAGTGCAGTTGTTTTGCTGTCGAGCAGGTTTCAGGAGTATTGAGTTACTAGGTCTTAGAAGACCCGAGATGATTCTTGAGGAAAGTATGGATAGGTGTGGAAGGTAGTATTAGGCCTGTACTACTTGAAGAACAGGATCCATACTGGATTCAAGGATGATTTTGGGGATTCTAAGGACTGGTCAGGAAAGATAACATGGTTCGAGGCTACGATTCCATATCTGTCGGTCTTTTGGCTTAGGCTTCTCAGGCGAGGATGGGTTTTGTGTTTGTTCAGGCCCCTGTGGCAATTTTGATGTGGGTTGAGTGGTTCAGACCCAGATGAGTATGTCGATTTGAAGTATCGAGGATTTTGTTAGAGGTTGTGCCTTGGACCTCGAGACACGGGGAGGAAGTGGTTGTCATGATCGACTTGGAAATCACATCTAGGATTTAAGTGGTGGATTGTCGTATTGGCTTGTCATTATATGTGGCAAGGATCTTCCTATTCTGTTTTTTTCGAGTTAGAAGGAGTGGGCAGGCATGTGATCTCCCGAGTTAGGTTGGATTCTCAGCTTAGGGTCTGTTGGCCGCAGTAGTTGGTGACAGTGCATCAGCACCGGGGTGCGCAGATGGATTGACGTGGCATGAGTGCCTTGGCGATGCGAGCAAGGGCCGTATTCTTGGGAGATAGGAAAGTTAGGTGCCAGATTGTTGTGTGTGTTGCACGTAGGGGTGTATGTTTAGATCGTAAATCAATAGTTGCTTATGATTTGTAAGTGGTTATTATGGGAAGTTCCGAGGTTTTCAGCTGTAATTCTGGTTTCTCGTGGGGATCGTTCAATCCGTATTTGGAGGACCATTCTATGGATGATATTCATTTCACGGTCAAGTATGGTTGTACATGGATGGACTGCTTGGGTTATGTTTTGGTTCATCACTAGTGGGCGGTGGTTTTCGAGTTTTAAGTAGGGAAGAATTGGGATTGCAAGGTTGAACGTCAGCCATTGAGGGTTCTGTCAATTCGCTGGTTGGTTTGCTGCTTTCAGATTTGTTGGGCAGATGTTGGTTGGTGGACCCTTTTCAGAAGCAGGCATGTTCAGCTCTAGGTGGGTTATGGTTTCTCTGGTTTGGGTGTCAAGGTATTCGAGACCATTGGTCGTTGAGTTCGTTTTTCATCAAGAATTCTATGAAGGATTTAAGTGGTTCCAGTTAAAGGTCAAGGAATGCGTCATCTACCCTCATGTTCGGTATATTATAAGTCCCTTCGGTCTTCAGGTGTGCTTACCCTCAATGGCAGAGTTGGAGCTTGGTTCATAGCAGACTCAGGTTTTGGTAACCTTCAGGATCATCTTGGAGGCTTTCTCGAGCTAGTGGTGTAGTGATGGAATCCGTTCAGTCTTAGTCCAGTAGGGGGTCTTGTTTTGACCTGATCATGAAGATGTTTTTCTGTTTTGATTAAAGTGGCATTTCGATTATCTCTGGTGTTTCTTTTCTCTTCGGATGAGATTTTGGGTCTCTTAAGTATGTGTATAGGGGTATGCCATGTGAGCTGGGAAAGATGGCTATGGGGCTCTTGGTTCGAGTTTTTTGCAAGGTTATTTTGGGTTTTAGCTTCTGATTTGGACCAAGAGTGCAACCTTTATCATATTCGCGAATTATGTGCGACTTTGTTTTCGTAAGGTTCTGCTTAGTAGCTATTTTGTGGTGCTTAGTTGGCATTGTAAGGGAGTTGTTTAGGTCCGTTCAAGGTAATGAAATGATGTGGGTATCTTCAGGCCCGGAGTGTTGGGCCAATGATGCAAGGACGACAGTGTCGGTAAGTTATCGGGAGCGTTCCAGTCATAGGCTGAGGGCTAGGGGAGCATACCATACTCATGCTGTGGGCCCAGAGGAAATCCAAACCTATGTTGACGACCTTGTAGGGGTATTCTAGTCATAGGCTATGGGCCTAATGATCATGATGGTTCATTTCTTCTGCTTGTAGTGTTTTCGGAGTTGACATGCTGATGGGAATCGAATGAGCCACAAATTTGTTGGTTAAGTAAAGGGAGCAGTAAGGTTTGGGTGGAGTATTAGGCAGGTATCATAAAGTCTCAGAAGGTTGTATGCAATAATTCCAGTTGTTCGCAAGCACACTACTAGAAAACAGCCATTTAATGACGCGCAAACAATGACACACACTGATAGAGGACGCGCATTTGTGCGTTCCCTAAAAAATAATGACACTTTTGCAAAATTTGAAGGATAGAGGACACGCATTTGTGCGTGCCCTAAAATTATTGTCCCATAAAAAAATTACAAACACGGAGGGCGCTTGTGCGTCCTCTGTGAATGTCGCTTTATAAACTTTTACTCAAAACGCACGTTCTGAAATGAAATCCTTTAAAATTCTAATTTTGAAATACCCCGCTTCAAGATATCCCTTCACTCTCTTCTTCACTCTCTTCTTCCCTTCTGTGTACAAACCCTAATCACCATACCATCTCTGCTTCAAGGCATGTACGTGACCTTATATTTCTCCACAACCTTCAACATGTTTTCGAAATAAAACTTCTCCATGAGAACCACCGTCTCGCCAACCGATGCCGCCCTGATCAGTATAAAGAATCTGAAAACATGAAATTGAAGGGACGATTCTAGGGCTTTTTTCAAGAACACACACTTATGGCTACCTCTTTCTCTATTTCTATCTCTCTCTCTCTCTCTCTCTCTCTCAAACACACATACACAAAATCGAAGGGACGATTCTAGGGCTTTTTTTTCAATAACTATTCAAAACGTAAAGACCATATGGACACCTCACAAAATTGTCCAGAGAGATCCAACGACTCCTCTCACTCACAACGTCGCAAATTAAGAGTTCTGTGGCTCCTTAGTCTCATACTTCTCTCCTTGTTGTTGTTGTATTACGCCCTCCCTCATTGTCTCCTTCTATCTCTGTCCTACTTCTCCCCTGCACATTATCAAAAGTAGCAATAAAGGTATTTGATTTAGCTTATTGATTTTGATTTATCATGTGAATAAAGGTACACGAACAAGGGCGGCTTTTGTTTTCATCATAGGTTTCTGGATGCTGGATCTTGCTAATAACACCGTTCAGGTAACAATTTATAAAAAAATTTCCTTTTTTTTTAAAAAAAACTTGTGTTTTAAACCAGTATTTTAAATTCAAGCAACAATTTTAATAATTTCAGGGCCCCGCTCGAGCTCTCTTGGCTGATTTAGCAGGTATGTGCCAAGTTTTCTGAATTCCTCAATCTTAATTTAGATCAAAACCCTAAACCCAAATCTATTAATAGTTTCACCTTATGATGTTTATGTTATATCTCTAGAAATGCTAATAATAATATTTATTCATTTATTTGATAGGCCATGATCAGAGGAACTCAGCAAATGCTATGTTTTGTTCATGGATGTCGATTGGAAACATCTTAGGGTTTCTATCTGGTTCTAGTGGAAATTGGCACAAGTAAATTATCTATTGGAAGTCTTCTTATTATATTGTATGGTTTTATTTGACTTTTTTTCATTGTTTTTTCTAATTAATTTGATCGTTCTCCATGACAGGTGGTTTCCTTTCTTTAAAAGTAGAGCTTGTTGTGAGGCATGTGGAAATCTGAAGGCAACTTTTTTAGTTGCAGCGGTGAGTTTTTAATAGCTAAATATAACTATATCCTAAAATTGATAAATTGACAAACAACAAGCCTTCTAATGTTTCTAACTGACAAAAGGAAAATTGGAAGATTAAATAATACAAAACATATTGGCATGTTTGCTGATTTTTCTTACATTTTGCACACTGGTTACACTCTACTTTGCAAAAGAGATCCCTTTAGCACCAAAACAACATAAAAAATTATCAGATTCTGCTCCTCTTCTTCACAATCATCAGCAGACTGGGTCTGAAAGTTCAGACTCAAAACCCCTGACAAATTCTGGTAAATCATCTGAGGTTGAAGAAGAAGATCAAGTTGAAACTTTTAATGATAATCCATGGGCAGTTTTGGTCAACTTGTTGACCAGCTTATGCCATTTACCAGTAGGGATGCATTCAATGCTTATTGTCATGGCTCTCACATGGGTAAGTTTTTAAAATGAAACTAAGGGTAAAATGGTCATTTTGCTTTTGTTTACTTTTTTATATATGCACATCACATGTGCAGTTGTCATGGTTCCCTTTTTTTCTTTTTGATACGGATTGGATGGGGAGAGAGGTTTATCATGGGGACCCAAAAGGAGATGCTGCCAAAGTTGAAGCTTATGATGAAGGTGTTAGAGAAGGTGCTATTGGTTTGCTATTGAATTCAGTAAGAACAAGAGTTTTGCATTTTTATTTCCTTTTTCAAATTCTAAATAATCACTAAATTCATTTCTATAATCATTTCTCTGACCATAATAAGTATTGGGCAGGTGGTTCTTGGTATCAGCTCTTTCCTGATTGAGCCAATGTGTCAGTGGATGGGTTCAAGGTTAGTCTGGGCGTTTAGCAACTTTGTTGTGTTTGCCAGCATGGCCGGGACAGCTGTCATTACCTTAATTTCTGTTAAACAAGAATTTTTTTAAACATGTAATTTTGCAGCCTTAATAGCTGCTTAGACAAACTGTGGTGACTGTCAAGCATATTATAACCATGGGAGGATAATTGATTTCTTAATTCGAAACAAATAGGATAGTAGCAAGAAATGGAAATGCTAGTAATTTTACTGGACGACATGTTTTTGTGCAGAGAAAATTTGAACTACAATGTAACTTGTGAATGGTGACACAGTTAATGTCAAATACTATGATACTTGTATGCTCTATCATCCTCCAAGAGCCTCATATTGCTCTGTCTGCAACAATTGTGTGTTTAAAGATTTGACCATCATTGTCCATGGGTTGCTCAATGCATTGGACTAGTAAGTCAATGTTTCTAAGATTTCTTAATTTGATGCTTCAGTTGAAACAATGGGTTTCTTTCTTCATCTGGCGCTTAGGGATGGAGGTATGTTAGGTTTTGTGTTTAGTAAATTTAATTTCTTTTTATCCATTTATTTATTTGTTTATCTTTTTATTTACTATTGGGTTATTAAATACACACAAACACTTGGAGCAAGGGCATACTTAGTTTTCAGTTTTGACCTTGTTTTTTTTAATAAATTACAGGTGGTTCCATTGTTAATGAAAGCTATTGGATGGCAAGGAGGAAGTATACTAGCCCTTGAGACACTAAAACGTGTGGTGGTTGCTGGAAATAGGGCATGGGATGCACTTGTTGCACAAGGTCTTAGGTTAGTAATCATGTTTGTGTATCTAAAATCCAATCGTCGCCATCGATCCAAGTCGACCTCGATCTAGATCAAGGTCACCTGTTAGTTTTATAGGAATGTATAACCCATGTTAGCAATGTATTATTTTTGTTTAACATTTGAATGATTATTTGTATGACATATTATAATTTGGGCAATTTATTTTATTTTTTGCGTATGAAATTTTATTTTATATTATGAGACATTAAATGTGTGATGTAATTTGAAAATTAGTAAATTTACAAAAAATATATATTTTTAAATCATTTAAATTTTATGACACACAAAAACGTGTGTCGTCTTTTTTTTATGACATGGGCGTTAATGATATGCAATGCAAGTCGTAAATGTGCATCGTTTACGACACGCGAATGCGTATCATCTTCTTAATGACAGGGCCTTCCTTGACACGCATTACGCGTTGTAAAAGCGCATCGTAAATGCGCGTCGTAAGGTTACGACGTGCAAAAGCGTGTTGTCTCTCGTTATGATAGGGCCTTCCTTGACACGCATTTGCGCGTCGTCTGAACGTTTTACGACACCCATTGCGTGTCGTAAAAGGCTGTTTTTCTAGTAGTGGCGGTTGTTAGAGTTGTGATTCTCAGGTTGGAAAGTTCTATGCAGTCGTAAGTCATAAAATTCTTGGTGATTGTATCGAGTGGGTGCCATGGTGGGAGTACACCGGAGTCAGTAAGGGTTGGATGTATCGCAAAAGTTCATGGTTGGATCGTAGTTGCTCGTTAAACAATGGTCGGTAATGGCATAACTTAGAGTCAAGGGTGTGAAGATTTTGGGTTCTTCGTATGGTTTGGTTTTGGGATAAGTTCGCGGTCATTATGTTTTGAGGATTATTCTTCATGGTTCTGGTAATGCCCCAGTTAGGGACTGGGGTAGATTCAAATGCATGGTTCTACCATTGTGAAGGTTGGGCTAGTGAGGAGGTGTCAGGCTCCTAGCATCAGTGTTTTGGGCAGCATCAGTGTTTCAGGCTGTATTAGTAACGTGGGGTTCCACGTGTGTGTGGAGTATCTGGGACTTTGGGAAATGATAAATAACTCGCAACAGGATTAAATAATCTTAGAGTAATTGGTTTGACCCTGTTGCGCAACTCTCGTCTGACTCTAACCAATGCAGGGATGAATCTTCTACTCGAAGGATTATCTGAGCCTTCTGTCGAGTATAAGTGTTATGTCGCTATATATATGGTCGGTGACTTTGTTTTCCTTTGAAGCAGCAATGTGATCAGGGGTTTGAAGCATTTTGTTTTGTACGAGACTCTATGAGATTGGCTTGGTGACAGTTCGGTGGGGGAGGTCTGACAGGGAGTCAGACCATTGAGACTTTAGGTTTCAAATCTCAGGGGAGGTAAGATTGGTTTTTATTCAAAATATTGAGGATTCGTTCTTCTACGAGCTTGAAGAACTATTCTAGGGATGGTTTCAGTAAATTTGGATAAGCCGTGGTATATTGAGAATTGGAAGCGTTATGTTTGGTTGGTTATTCGTTGAGAGTTGGGCATGAAGTTGTTTCAGCAGGAGCGCTCTGCAAGGGAATCAAACCATTATAGATTTCAGGTCCCAGAAAGGTAGACGTGGTTTGCAGGGGTTGAAGGTTTGATTGTTGTCGTCAGGATAGAAGTTTCGGTTTGGGTTCCGGTTGTCTTGGGAATATTATCTTATGCTCAGAATTTCGTGTGTGTCCCTCCAGTGGATTGTTTTGTTACGAGTGGCAGTAAGAAGTGATTTCGAGGACGAAATCTAATTTAAGTGGGGGAGAGTTGTAACATCCAGAATATAGAAGGCCAATTATGGAAATAAATTCTTTTTTAGGCCAACTTGCCGAGTTTATGGCATAAAATCGACGTGTTGGAAGCTTTTGGGGCGCGTGTTTATAAAGACCAACTCGTTGAGTTGGTGAAGGGAACTCGACGAGTTGGACGCTGTTTGAGAAATCCTAGTTTGGGGATTTTGCACCCTATTTAAACACCCTAAGTCCCAGGTGTTGGCCTCATTTCTAGCACCCATAGCCGCTAACCCTAATCTCGAAACCCTAGAGCCTCCAAGAGTGTTGTGAGTCCATTGTGTGTTTTTGAAGCTCATTCAAGGAGGGGAAGCTTGGTGCAAGGTGGTGGTTCAAGAAGGAGCTCATAGATCTTGATTCTCTGCTCCATTTCCAGCACATTTTAGATATAAAGTTCTAACCTTGCTTAATATTTACTTAGATCTCTTATTTGGTTAAGTTGCATGTTTTAGCCATGGATGGATGATTATTGGGGAAGTAGAAGTCCCAAGTGCTTACTCTTTCAGATCTATGATCTTCATGAGTTCTTTTGCATAAAGGTGCCAACTTTATTGTCTTAAGGGCTTCATGCATCTATTAAGCTCTTCTTTTAGTCTCTTATGAGCTTTTTAGCCCCTCCTACCCATGCATGGGTGTAAAGTTAGAAGCTTTACGTGACCATGCAACCTTTAAGGACCATATTAGTATTTTTGTGGCTTTGTCTTGGTGGTTAAGTGATTATTGATTAAGCCCTTAACCTTTTCAACCTAGGATTTAGGTTTTGAGCAACTTGGTTGGTTCCAAGGGGTAAAGTTGGAAACTTTACCCTTCTAGACGCTATTTCATTGAAGATTTGAGTGGGAAAGTTGTTAGTTCCGATTATGTCATCTCAATAGATTAAGCTGTTTGGTCTCGGGTGAACTCGACGAGTTGTTTTGGGTTTTCCCCGTTTCTGAGTTGGTGTGGGTCAACTCGGCGAGTTGATTAGACAACTCGATGAGTTGGATCGATTTCTTCCTGACTTTGCGGTTGTCAGAGGAACTCGGCGAGTTGAAGGACAACTCGGGGAGTTGGGTCAAGTTGGACCGTTGACTTTGATTTTTGACGAATGTGTTTGACTAAGTTTGTCCCTAGGGGCGTTTGTGATAACCTGATTTGGATTTAAGGAAAATATGGGCTTAGGATAAGACCCATATGGGGTTGGGCCCAGTTCGGAAAATTGGGCCATTAGTGGGCATTCGTGGATCTTTTGGTTTTGAGCCTCAGTTTTGGGTCATGTTGGGTTAGGGGTAAAATGGCCATTTTACCCGAAGTATGGATTATGGATTATAGCATGGGACCCAATTGCTAATTGGGTGTGTTGTTGGTTTTGATAGCTCGGAAGCTGGCAGGGCAGCAACTAAGGACTTTCTTTCGGGGAGCTTCTGTCTTCGAGGTGAGTTTTCCTCACTATACTTTCGGGTCGAAGGCATCAAGGTCGGCCCTTTGGTTTGATAACCTGATATTGTTGATATGCCAAGGATGGAATAGATATGCATGCTAGTCTGGTTATGCTAGTCTTGATATGTTAGTCTGGCAGATCTGTAGGACTACCTGTGATACTATCTGTTTATCTGTATATGATATTATCTCTTATAGGTCGACATATTGTGCTTTTTGGGTTGAGGTTGTACTGGTTTGTGTTGTAGCCAACAAACCTTGGAGTATGCCAGATATGAGCTGAGGGCCAGGGAGGGCATGCCAGACTCATACTGAGGGATCATTAGCATTCCAGATATGAGTTGAGGACCGGCTGGTAAGCCAGACTCGTACTGAGGGCTACTTATCGGTATTCCAGTCCAAGGACTGAGGGAGCAAGCCAAACATAAGCTGTGGGCCTAAGGAGAAGCCAGACTTACGCTATGGGCTCGAGAGCAAGCCAAATATGAGATGTGGGTTTGATAGGCATGCCAAACTCACACTGTGGGCTTAAGGGGTAATCCAGTGTTTTAGTTGTGGACCCAATACATCCTGTTATTTGTATATGTTATCTGTTTAGGTGTTGGTATTTTGGGGGAACTCACTAAGCTTCGTGCTTATAGTTCTGGTTTATGGTTTCAGGTACTTCAGTGGATGTGGCAAGGTGAAGGCGTGACTGTACACATCCTCGCATTTTGGACTTATGATTTCTGGGAAACTCTGATAATGTGAATGTTATGAAAAGTATGTTGAAAGATATTATGATTTTCAAATATTCTTTTGGGAACAACGGTTTTTGTAAACGCTTCCATAGAAAAAAGGTTGTTTTGAAAATTTAAAATTTTATGGATGTTACAAGTTGGCCACACCGTGGCTGCTAATCATAAGCCTTCCTTCGGTTTTCTTCTTCAGTTTCCTACACTTCATTTGAATTTTCATTAGTTAATGGAACTAAAGGGTTGATGATTTTACCACTCCTTGTATTCACGGCCTTGATATTCGCCTTTAGATTTTGTTCAGTGTTACTCGGAAGTGTGTCCGGTAACCGTTCGTTGAATTGCCTTGAGAGTTGACAGATTTGTTTGCTCAATATTACGGATCGAGGCTTGCTAATTATGAAGGACAACATCTGGTTCACCGTGTCTCTTTTCTGATGCAACATCAAATTGGGCGAGCATAGCTTCAAAGTCGTTCTTCTTTTCGGGAGTCGGTTGCTCATTTTGATAAACTATGCGACCTTGTTACCTATACGTCTCCTCTTTCTCCTTTTGATAGTCATCATAGGTTTGCCGCTCCTTCCTTGGTTTCTTCCAGTTTACATCATATCTATCTCCACTTGAATAGCACGCTTGAACCTTTCGATTTCCGTTCTCGTCGAGCTCACATTTTTTAGTCAAATGTGGTCCACCACAATTGTCACACCCAACACTAATTGCATGGATGGATTGATCCATCTTTGTCATCATTTGGTCTATTGAATCTAACTTCACCAAAACCACAACTATATCTTCAGAACCTCCACTTCCATGTTTGTAGCCTCTTGTCTTGTCTTCTCGAGGGTTGTGATACTCCCTTGAGTGCTTGGAGAACTCTTCAATTAACTACTTAATTGTTGCTGGTGACTTCTTCGTTAACGGTTCTTGAGAGTCAAGGGGTTGTGAAGTCATCACGTTCACCCCATCATAAAATATTGAGACCTCTTGTTGCACATTGAGGTCATGTTATGGTCAATTTTTCAGTAACCCCTTGTACCTCTTCCACACTTCATACAATGAATCTCCATATTGTTGCTCGAAATTAGCGATGTTTTTC